TTTAGTGTTGATTTAGGTGCCCCAAGAAGTCCTTACGGTCTTATCACAGAGCACCGCGGAAGAGCATTTAATAGGAAGTTCACGCCTCCTTCCTAACCGATGTCGCAAAACTTGCCCAGGTGGGTTTGAACCACGGATCTTAATATAAGAAGCTATAAGCTTGTGTTTATCACCCACAACCCAATTGTGTTCAGGGAGAATTACCACATTACAATTTTGGGCCAATACTTCAAATAGAATTATTTGAAGTGTTGGCCCAAAATGACAATTACTTGCTCTTGAACTTCAGTGGCATTTCATTGAATGAATTGGTTGTATACATTAAACTAGATTCAAGATCCTAATGCTTGAGTTTCACTTCCTTTAATGAGTTCTATAGACTATAGACTTTTTCCTGAATATTTGCCTTCTTTTTATTGGGATAAGCATTTCCATAAGAGACCATCAATAAATAAAGCAATGCGGCTTTATCCATATTTGTATTATTGATTTATCAGTATGGTTTACATCAAAATCAAAATAATGATTATGCTCCTATCAGTGCAAGCAGTTTGAAATAATTTCTTCAAGTCGCTTAGGAGCAATTAGCGTTTCGTATTTGCATTAAAGACTTTATGTGTTTGCATTGCATCGCAATTTACAAGCCGCTCGAGAGTAATTAGAGTTTCGTATTTAAAATAATAATAATAATAAATGTATTTGAAATAATGACAAATAACTTTATGTGTTCGCTTTGAAGCATGTTTTATAACCTTCTAAGGAGCAAATAACGATTGTCAATTTTATATACAAATAGTCGATATTTGTAAACAATTAGATTTGCAGTCAAATGGTAATACAATAATAAAACGTTGTTAAATTTTTAATAAACTTAATATCACCGGAAAACTTATACCAATCTTTACAAAGCAAATGTACTATTTCTACACCACATTGTAGGCGTAAGTATTAAAATTATGTCAATTGAATAAAATTTTTTTTTGATTGACATCATTTTGGTATAAACGCCCCCTTCCCATTGTCAGTTGTTGTCAAATTTCCAGTATCCCCTTCACCCATATTTACTGATTTATTTATGGATGCCTCCTAGGTTTCTACCCATGATTAAAACCCTCTCTAGATCCGGTCTATGATAGTTTTGGCTATAATTATTATTTTATAAATAAAACCGTCTCAAAAATATTTAATCCCTAAAGCCCCGCAGATTTAGAAGCCGCGAATTTTTTAAAAGCAAAAATGCTTTTTTTTGAATGGTTTTTTCGCCACATTGATACAAAAAATGCTTGCCTTCTCAAAAATTTTCCAACACCCTAAAAGTCTCCATCCGGGGTTGACCAAAACAACTACGGTTTTCTAAACAATTTACATTTCTAAACAAATTACATTACAAATACATTTACATACAACATTTATATGGGCTTAAAAAATTTTAGAACTATTTTTATAGATAACTTTATCTACGCGTAGGATCTGTGGCCTAACTACCATAAGGCCAGTGTAAATAAAACCTTTGGTCCCTCAAACAAATGGGCACAGGGTCGCGAGGTTTAGGAGCCTCAAGAAAAATTTAAAGAGTTAATTTTTTTAAAAAAAAAGAAAATTATTATTCCAGAGAAACAAAAACTGGGCACCTAAGCCCAAATTTACTTCGCTACGTCACTGTGTAAGTATGTATAACCAGAGATGTAGCGTAGCAACAACTTATACGTAGATTAAGAAATAAAAATTGCGGTGATTGGACCCTGGAAACAAAAAGATGAGATGTTAGAAATTTTTTAAATAAAGATTCAAAGATCTTGCTAATATTAGAGTAGATTTTATATTATTTATAGATTTTAGTTAGGTTTCTTGCAATAATAAAAAGACTTGTTCTCAAAAGTTTTGTTCTTGTGAAAAAGATTTTTAAAAAAAGGTTACATTTAAATATAGCAGCTGCACAGAAAGGTGAAAACCATGAAATAAATGAGGCTTGACTTAAAACTGATTAGGAGGAATAAAAGTATCTATGCTTGCCTGGATCCATGAGATTATGTAAGAGGAGCATTAATTAGTGGGAAGATAAATTTAGTTATTCCGCTGGTTGTTACAAAGAAAATAACGGAAAGTATCCCATTCTAATGTGATATAAGCAAGAACATACTAAAGTTTGGCGCTTAAGTATGTTCTTGTTTATTCCGCAATAAAATATCTTAATATATTAAAGAAATAAGGCACTATAAAAATGTGTTCCCTCAAGTATATTTACTTAGATAGATATTGAATACATAAATTATGCTGAGTTTGTTAGATTTAATGTACCCAGGTTCAATTCCATTGTAATATATACAACTTGTTTTGTAATGATTTGTTTAATACATGATCGTTAAATTGCTGTTAGTAATTGTTTCAGCCAAAATCATTGCTTTCTTATAATTATGTTAATAATGCATCTCAAAATTTAAGTAAATATCATTATACTATTGGTTATCCATAAAGTCTTTAAATGAGTTTAATATGATTTTTGATAGCAAATCGAAAGGTTTTCAAAAAACCTAATTTGTATATGACTATACAATAATACTATTAGTTAAAGAGGCTGTTGATTAAGTAATTCTAACTGGTTTAGGATTAAAAGGAATTGCCGCATTTTAAAATTATAAAACCTTTTTACATTGCTTTTGACTTGGTATGATACCAAAAATGCCACTCGTATTTAAATCAATCTCTATTTATTATTGTTAGCGCTTATAGTAATAGTGTTAACA